GAGGGCGGTAGTCGCGCCGCGATTTCCTCTCGCCCGCGCCTGCTCCCGCCCCGCACACCCCTCCCCCGCAGGACCGCGGGCGGGGGCGGGGGGCGGGCTGCCGCGGGCGGGCGGGGGGCGGGGCGCGGGGCGGCGCGGTGCCATGGCGACGCGCGGGGGTGACGGCGCGGCGCGCTGGGTGCAGGTAGGCTCCCGCGAGGGCCGCGCGGGCGGGCGGGCGGGGGCGGAGGCCACGAGGCGGGGCGTCCACACCGACGCGGGGAAGATGGGCCCGAAGGGACTCTCGCCCGCGGCCCGGCCTCCCAGCGCCTCCGTTGTTCCCCGGCGCCTGCCTTTCGGCGGCTCGCAGATGCCTCCGGTCCCCACGGTGCCTCCGAAAAGAAGGTAAAGGAAACGGCAGCAGCTCCCTTTGTGGGGCGAGCGCTCTCCACCGCACGGACTGCGCTCGATCATAAAACGCATTTCTGCCCTTCCAGGTCTGCAAGGGAAGCCCATTTGGAGGGGGACTGGGACACGAAAACTTCCGTTTGTATTACCGTAGAGAGAGGTTCTGGTTTGGGTTCTTGCAAAGTGTGTTCCAAAGTGACGGTAGTATAAATGCGTGATGCAAGCGGAATAGGGGAAACTAAGTTAAAGAGCCGTATGCAGCCACCTAGTAAATCCTGTCTTCTCTAAATCAAGGGCACTGCGCTTCTCCCCAAACAGGGGGTGAATAGCTTAAGTCACCCTACTCAGGGGCACAGATAACAGAATCCAACTAAGTGGCATTTGCCAACCACACCCAAGGACAGACACATTAAGAGAGTAAATCTCATTTTGGTACATCAGCGTAAAGCTGACCCTCCCCTAAGATCTCCCCCAAACACCCAGCCTTTAAAACCCCTGAAAATGAAGGTTCCAGGGCGCTCTCCCTCCAGGCAGCACGCCGGTGCCGTTCCCTTCCCCATCACGCACCCATCCCTAATCTCTAAGGGACCCCATGAGACGTGCAACCAGGGGAGCAATGGGCAGCGGCAGCTCCTCCCAGGATAAGCCTCTTTTCTCCGACTTCCCAGTGAGCCAAGGCAGCCCAGCCCAGCCTCTCCTGTTGCTTCTTCTGTACCGGTCCTTGTTCATTGTCGTAGGTATATTGCTGCTGTGGTCAGTAAATTGCTTGCTTTTCTACACGTTGTCTCTTCATTGAAATCTTTGCCTCAAGAAGGCAAGGACCAAGGTGTGTAGTCTCCTCGTCTCCCCAGTAACAGGTGATTCCCAGGAAACTTTGAAGTGAATATACATGTACAAGGAAGACCTCTGGAGTCAATGCAAAGAAACCATCCTCAGCTAGACAAGAACACATTTTTTTAAATTGGGACATAATTGACATAGAACATCATATTAGTTTTAGTATGATTTGATCTATGTATATGTTGTGACATGATTACCACAATAAATATAGTTAACATCCATTACCACACGTACTTATATATTTTCTTGTGATAAGAGCTTTTAAGAATTATTCTCTGAGCAACTTTCAGATATAAAGCTTTGTTAACTATAGTCCCCATGCTGCACATCACATCCCAGGACGTATCTTACAACTGGAAGTTTGTACATTGAACTTAGACAAATCTGAATTGATACACATCTGAATTGTCAACGGTATCATGTAATTCCTGATTTTGCCACATACGAAGAATATACTGTATTGGATGGTTACTAAACCACAATCTTAAAGATTGGATTCTAGAAGAAAAAGAGGTTCTTTTTTTGGTATTTGCTTAAAACAGTAACCTGACAGCTAGATGTGTAAGGAATTAGTGAATGAAATTAGACGGCTGCTGACTTTGCATATTATCTGCTGTCTGAGAGAGGAATTCTCTGTAAGCCAGAACTCGGACTCCTGGGGACACTGATGTTCATATGGGTATATGTGGCTACAACTCTTCAGACTAATGTCTCTTTCCTCCCACCAGACCATTTGTCATAATTCTTGTTGTTCTAGCTTTTGCCCCAATAATACTAAAATTTATAACAGTTTGTCTCCACCCGATTACAAGCCCTACTTGTACTCGGGAAATACCCCCCATGGACACCATCACAACCTCCTTTTGTGCCCTCTGACAGAGAGCAAGGGCTCTTGGCCTTGAAAAAAAATGTCACCCCCTTTCAGCAGGAAGCAGCTATGGGAGAGGCCCGAGGCGCCTTTTTCTCTGAAAGAATTCAGTGCCAAAATCCTTGAGGAGGAAAATGTTAGACCCCCAGCTTTCAGGGGGGGAAAAATGGCTGGAATGTTAGGCACATTCTCTACCTTTCCCCTGTGCTCCATTATGCCCTGCCTGAGGCTCTCACCCTCCAGCCGTTTCCCTATTATTCTCATTACAGGTTTCCTCCAGACGTGATGAAAGGCTTTCAGTTTACAGTAAACCGTCTCACCCAGTTTTCAGTGGGCTACCCGCACCCAGCCTCCTACCCACCAGTTACTCTGACCTTCACAGGAGATATATACCAGTATATCCCGCTATCCCCACTCTGGGCTATTCATTTTAGAGCTCAGCCCTTCTGGTTTCCAGATGATCTAATAAATGTATAATTTTTTTTAAGTGTACAATGGTAGCCCTGGCCAGTGTGGCTCAGTTGGTTGAGCATCATCCCACTGGGTTAGATTCCAGGTCAGGGCACGTACCGGGGTTGGGGGCTTGATCCCCAGTAGCGGGTAGGCAGTAGGCAGCCAATTGATGTTTCTCCCTCTCCCTTCCTCTCTCTAAAAATCAAACATATTTTTAAACAATAAAAAAGTAAAGTGTAGCCCTAGCCTGTTTGGCTCAGTGGATAGAGCATCGGCCTGTGGACTGAAGGGTCCCGAGTTCGATTCTGGTCAAGGGCATATATCCAGGTTATGGGCTTGATCCCCAATAGGGGGCGTGCAGGAGGCAGCTGATCAATGATTCTCATCATTGATGTTTCTCTCCCTCTCTCTTCCTCTCTGAAATCAATAAAAATATATCAAGAAATAATTCCTCCTACTTGGAGCGGGATTTGATTTCCATAGGGTTACACGGGTATGCCTCATGTCTGCAGTGTCTGCTGTGCTCAGCAGACGTAGTTGCCAATGCCAGGAAAGAAACCAATGCTGCTGACTCAGTCTCTCACGTATTCCTGCATTGAAAGTCTATAATGGGAAAGCATTGTGCTAGCTACAAAGACGGACTGGTGAATCGGGGACACAAGGTTATGGCCCTACCCAGAAGGTACTTACAGTCAAGGAGACAGACGAATACATACAGAACTACAATACAGGGTAGAAAGTGCTAAGTACTGTAACAGGAACTCAAGGGAAGTACTAGGAAGCCAAAGGAAAAAGGTGATGGCTCCTGGTTTGGAGGACAGAGCTCTGACTCACTGAAGCAGGAAGGTATTCTGAAGGAAATCTATCAACAGCCTTAGGATGATCTCAACTTATACCATTATTGCCCCATATTTTTTAAAAGGACAATTTCTATATTATTTAATATGTGTTTATTGATTTCAGAGAGAGGAAGGGAGAGGGAGTTAGAAACATCAATGGATGAGAGAGACTGCCTCCTGCACGCCCCTTACTGGGGATCGAGCCTGCAACCAGGGCATGTGCCCTGACGGGGAATCGAACTGTGATCTCCTGGTTCATGGGTTGAAGCTCAACCACTGAGCCACACCAGCCTGGCTCCCACACATTTTAAAACATGATAATTCATTTTTATGATCTCCTGAAAAGCAGGAACATTTTGACCCCACCTTTCATTTTACAGCCAAATAGACTGACTCCATATCTTTTTGATTAAAAAAGTTTCCTTCAATATTATACTTAAATAATATAGGCCCAGTTGACTGAGTCTTGTCCCATGCACCGAAAGGCTGCGGGTTCCATTCCCAGTCAGGGCACATGCCCAGGTTGTGGGTTCAGTCCCTGGTTGGGGTGAATGCAGGAGACAACTGATGGATGTTTCTCTCTCTCTCCCTCTTCCTTCCCCTCTCTCTAAAATCAATAAAAAAAAACCAAACACCCATATTTTTAAAAAGTTAACATTGGAAGAGTTTTTTAATTTTTAAAAGCTAATGAATATTTGCATTTTAATCAAGAGATTTAATATGTTTTTAGTCAGGTGAATCACTCACCAACTCAATATGTATATTTTCTCATTAAGTAAAAAGAAAATTATTATCTGGAGGAAACTCCACCTCCTGGCTATATTTTCATCATAAGTCACTATCTCCCCCTCGCTTTACTCTTAGAAAAAAATTGATAAATGTGTCAGCTAGAAAGGGACCTGGTGGAAAGTAACCACCCCACAGGGCAGTAAATCAGTCACATCAGATTCAATGGGTTTGGGGAGAAAGGCGAGGTACATAGAATCACAAACAAAAAAATACTAATTATGCCCCCTATCCTCTCCTGCTTCTCTCTTAATATTTCCAGTATCTTCAAATGAGACTTGGCCAACATCACAGCAGACCCGAGAGGGAGGAAGAAGTTGTATACTGGATTTAGAAAAGCATTTGAAAGTAACAATTTGTTTTGTTTCCTTAGGTTATGAGGTTGACGTGAGGGAACGATAAAAAGCATATTCCCGCCTCCCCCAGCTTGCCAGCGGGGTGTGTGCAAGAACCAAGGGAGAGGCAATAGAACTGTTGAAAGGGAGGTAAGTCAACCATGCAAACTGTAAAACGCAAGGCACGTTTCTGTTTTTATGCAACCACATAAAAATCACAAGCTTCCATCAATGTTATAGCTGTGTATTGAGATATAGAAGTACTTACAAATAAAGCTATTTTACTTCCATTGGTATATGGAGTTCCTGCTTTATTGTATCTCTAGCTGACATACATTTAAAATGAGGTCCCAGAAAGCAGTTGTGGTCTGCATAATTCTGAGAAACAAGTTTCTAAATGATGTCTTAGTGCGCTTTTCTGCAACCGGATTTAATCACAGGGATTGTGCCTTTGTTTTCCGAAAAATCGCACCAATAGTGAAATAGCAGAGCAAACAATCAAAGGAGTATTTTTAACTCTTATCCATTTCTCCAGGGATAGCTTTTTCTCTCTTTCAAAATACCGTTTCATTGTGAAATATAACCCACCTACAGAAATATGCAGAAAAGTGGTCATAAAGTAACCGAAACCTGTGTGTTCACCACCTTGGTCAAGGAATCGGGCAATCCCAGACCTTAGTCACCTCGGCTCTGCCCCCCAGACCTTCCTGAACACAACCCTGTCCCTTAACCCTAGCGGGGTCACTATCCTGACTTCCATCATTGATCATTTCCTTGCTTTTCTTCATAATTTTACCATTGATGTGGGCATCCCAAAACAATGTAGTTTATATTTTGCCTACTTTTGAATTGTATGTAAATGCAATGATTCTATAGTATTTTTTTGTATCTGCCTTTTTGGTTCAACATTACGATTCACCCATGTTATTGTATTTAGCCTAAGTAGTTTATTCATGTTCATCGCTATACAAATATTCCATTGTTATGAACTCACCACAATTTATTCATCTATTTTACTCTTTCTTTCCCCCAGTTTTTTAATCCTCTCAAGGAAAAAACTGCATAGTCACCTTAATCAGGCCATGTCTTGTATTTAAGGTCAGGTTCATTTTTATTTGAATAATCCAAGAACTCGTACATCATTGAGCCAAAGCCACCCACCACAATGGGTTCTGACTATACATATAAACATGACAACTGGTGTGGTCTTGTACATTCTGGCTAGCTTTTCCAGTATTTCTGTCTTAAGTTCTGTTGCTTCCCAGGGTGAAGGACATGATGACCACTTGCTGAAGTAGTCCTTCGGTCATGAACTTCCTGGTCCAGCTAGGGACTGTGCTGTTCATGATGGTAGTCTATTCTTAGGCAGCCAGGGAGGAAAAGAGCCCTTCCATTCTTGATGAATCTATATTTCCAGATTTGGGCAGTTGTAAACAATGCTGGTATGAATATTTTTGTTTCTGTATCTTGGCATCCCTAAGCATATGCATCTCTTTTTTTCTTTTGACTTGAAAATAACATAGTCTGTTTCTTATAATGGAATTATTGCTTTTTTTCCTGGAAATTTTCAATATTTTGCTTGGTTTACTTACATTTGTGTGTTTGAATAGAAAGCTCGAGTTGTCTATTTAATATTTGGACTATATGTTTTGTTTTATTATTTTTTTCCTGGAATATATGTTCTGTTTTTCAATCTAGTGATGCCATCCAGCATCCTTCAATGCACAGGGAAACAGGAACACTTACACAGGATGGGGAACCATCAGCACAATGGTAAATAGCATGGGCTCTAGAATCATGTAGATTTTTGCATTTTTATTTATTGATTTTAGAAAGAGAGAGAGGAAGGGAGAGAAAGAGAAAGAAGCATATTTGTTGTTCCACTTATTTGTGCACTTATTGGTTGTTTCTTGTATGTGCCTTGACCGGAGATCAAACCCTCAACCGTGGCGTATCGCGATGACGCTCTAACTAACTTAGCTACTCGGCCAGGGCTAGAATCATGTCGATTTTAAGCAAATTGTTTAGTTTCTCCAGTCTTCAGTTTTTTATTGTATAAAGCTTGGATAATACCACTTACCTTACAGTGTTATTCTAAAGCAGGTCCATGAGGACTCCTTACAATGCAAATAACAAAATCCAACTCAAACTGTCTTAGATACTAAAGTCCTGTATTGACTCACCTGACCTGAGAAAGTGGGAGGTGGAGGGCAGAGAGGGAGAACAAAATTTCTTTCTACCATCAATGAATTAAAATCCTTCACTCTGATTGGGCCAACAATGCTCTCAAACCACAATTCAACCAATCTGGGCCCACTCACAGAAGTCCAGGTATGTCCATTCTAAGCATCTGGCTGGAACAAAATGGGAAGAGGATTAACTGGGTGTCAGGGAGGGAACCAGTGTCCACTCCACCAGAATTATGAATAACAAGAGTCCTGGGCTCAGCCTATTGACTGACCCTCTGTCCGTTCTAATTGTTTCAGGGGCTGCCAGCACCATAATCTGCCCTGTCTGTCATTCTTAATACTAAAATAAGCATTTTTCAAAGTGATAAGATAAATCTACATCTCCGCATTAAAAAAAAAAGTTACTCTGTAATCTTATGACTGGTGATTTTTATATTTGCAGAAAATATTTTCACTGAGAGAACAGGACTGGGAATGTACTGTTATTTTCAACCTAAACCAAAAGCTTGTTATTGTCACTGATTAAAAGACTGTTTTTCAAAGGGCCTAAAATATTGTACCCAGAAGATATAATTAGATGCTAATGAGAACATGGAGTAAATATCAAACGCAAATCTGTCATCTGTGCAGGACTGAAGACCTTTCAAATGAAGGGAGAGCAAGAAAATTAGGGGAAATAGTTTCCTACAGAAGCTCTTGGGAGCCCTCGCCGGATTGGCCCAGTGGATAGAGCATTGGCCCTCGGACTGAAGGGTCCTGGGTTGGATTCCGGTTTCAGGCATGTACCTTGGTTACAGGCTCCACTCCTGGCCCTGTGGGAGGCAACCAATGGATGTGTCTCTTTCACATCAATGTTTCTCTCTCTCTGTCTCTCCCCTCCCTCACACTCTCTCTAAAAATCAATGGAAAAATATCCTTGAGTGAGGATTAACAGCAACAACAACAAAAAAGATCTTGGGAAATAAAGTAGAGATTCTTGCCCTGGGCAAGAATGAAAGCAAAAATAATAATTATTCATTGTAAGTACATCCACTGATTTCACTGTCTGAAATTCCAAAGACGTTATGAAATAATAGTCGGCGAATGGGCTCAAGGGAACTTTTTGGAGCGATGGATGTGCTCTGAAACTGATTTGTGGGGAGGGTTGCACAACTGCATACCTTTACTGAAAAACATGGAACTGTAAACTTATAATTGGTGGACTTTACAGCACACAAATTGTAATTCAACAAACCTGTTAACATTAAGAAAGATACACTAACAAGAGTCATATTCCAATATTCTGTTTCTTTGTTACTAATGTTGTGGCCCCACCCCATAACCAAGAAACAGAATTTCCGGAGGATGAGGCCCAGAAATCAGGATTTCAAAAAGATTCCCAGGTGATTCTAATGTGCAGCCAAGGTTGAGAACCACTGTTCTAGAAGGTCTTCCTTTGCCAAGGACGAGCCTTTCCACCTGGTTGTGCGAAGAGCCAACATCTGGTAGCGATTTCATGGAAAGACCTTTGATCAGTGCTCTTTGGAACCAAAGCGTTAGAGACCCAGACAGAATCAAAGTCTCTGAAGCTTCTCTATGAACAACAGGAACACTGGGCTTGTACATTTTTGAACTGGAGCTAGTTTTTAAAATTTTAACTTTATTGCTTTAATAACTTTAATAATTCCAGCTTTAATAACTGACATATTAAAGCCCCTGCTTTAATCGTGTTATTGATTCAACCTACCTGGTTGTCAGGTCAAAACCAGAATCTAGCACATCTTTACCTGGAAGTCATGACCTAGTCCAGGAGACGATGGGGCGCAGCTGCCATGTGAGGCCAAGAGAAAGAACGTGTTTCTCACAGTGTCCGAAGATGGAGAGATGGGTTTCCAGCTTGCTTGTTGGCGGGTTCTTTTCTCACTTTGCTTCTACAGCCAGAGCAAACATACCTGAAGAGGGGACTGGGGACCCAGAATAGAGGGTGAAAATGCCGTGTGCACGGAGCCTCAGAATGTGCAAAGTTAACTTAACAGGAACTTGTGTCCCCGAGTCCCAAGCACATCCGAGCACAGAGTAAGCACGAAGCGAATTGAAAGTGAATTGAAAGTTTTTTTTTCATGGAAACGGTCTCCTGGTGTTCCAGTGGCCAAAATAGCAGGAGCAAAGGGAGAAACATACATGAGGAACAAGGGTTCCCTCAGCTTACTAACCCCGTGACCTTGGGCAAGTCGCTCAATGTAAGACGATTTATGTCTGTTCTCCGAAGAGATGACTGAGAGATATACTGGAGTGGGCAAAAGTAGGTTTACAGTTGTGCGTACACAAAACACAGGGTTTGTTCTTGTATCATTGTTTATTTATGTTTAAACGTATCTTTATTATTGAAAGTATTACAGATGTCCCTCTTTGTATCATTATTTATTTATGTGTAATGAAGGGCAGCAATGTGAGCACTTACCAGAACGTGCCTAAGTGCACTGTGCCATTGTGGGATTCTTTTGAGCTAATAAAGCTCTTGTGATCATCATACCCTGTGTGTCATTTTTCATGCAGACAACTGTAAACCTACTTTTGCCCCCTCCTGTATGAAAAGATGTTCAAGGCCACTAATCATCAGAAAAGATGCCAATTAAAATCACCATGAGATACCACCTCACACGTGTCAGAATGGCTTTCATCAAAAAATCAACAAACAAGTGTCAGCGAGGATGTGGAGGAAAGGGAACCCTTGTGCGCTGTTGGTGAGAGTGCAAATAGGTGGGGCCGCCGTGGAAAACAGCATGGAGGTTCCTCTAACAATTAGAACTCCCTCATGACCCAGCAATTCCACTTCTGGGTATGTACTTGAAGAAATCCAAAACACATTCAAAAATACACATGCACCCCTATGTTCATTGCAGCATTATTTACAACTAGAAGCCTGGTGCACAAAAATTTGTGCACTCGAGGGGGGGCGTCCCTCAGCCTGGCCTGTGCCCTCTTGCAGTCTGGGACCCTCGGGGGATACCACCTGCTGGCTTAGGCCCGCTCCCCGGGGGATTGGGCCTAAGCTGGCAGTCAGACATCCCTCTGGCAGCCCAGGAGCCCTCAGGGGATGTCCACTTGCCAGTGGGGAGCAGGCCTAAGCTGCAGTCAGACATCCTTAGCGCTGCTGAGGAGGCAGGAGAGGCTCCCACCACCACCGCTGTACTGGCAGCCTTCAGCCTGGCTTGTGACTGAGCAGAGCTCCCCCTGTGGGAACGCATTGACCACCAGGGGGCAGCTCCTGCATTGAGCGTCTGCCCCCTGGTGGTCAGTGTGTGTCATAGTGACCAGTGATTCCCAGTCGCTCTGCTTTTAGGGTCAATTTGCATATTACCCTTTTATTATATAGGATAGCCAGATATGGAAGCGACCTGCGTGTCCATCGATAGACAAGTGGATAAAGAACACACAGTACATATACACAATGGAATATTACTCAGCCATAAAAAGAATGAAATATTGCCATTTGTGACAATATGGATGCTCTAGAGTAGTGGTTCTCAACCTTCCTAATGCCATGACCTTTTAATACAGTTCCTCATGTTGTGCTGACCCCCAATTTCATTGTTACAAATTTAACATAATTAAAGCATAGTGATGACTCACAAAAACAATATGTAATTATATATGTGTTTTCTGATGGTCTTAGGCGACTCCTGTGAAAGGGTGGTTCGACCCCCAAAGGGGTCGCGACCCACAGGTTGAGAACCGCTACTCTAGAGGATATTATGTTCAGTGAAATAAGCCACAAAGAGAAAGACAAATGCCATATGATTTCACTTATATGTAGAATCTAAAAAAACAAAAATAGACTTGTATATAGATACAGAGTACACACTGATGGTTGCCAGATGGGAGGGGGTTTGGGGAACTGGGTGAAAAAGATGAAGGAATTAAGAAGTAAAAATTAGTGCCTTAGCTGGTTTGGCTCAGTGGATAGAGCATCAGCCTGCGGACCAAAGGGTCCAGGGTTCAATTCCAGTCAAGGGCACGTACCTGGGTTGCAGGCTCCTCCCCCTCCCACCTCCACTCCCACTCCCACCTCCCACCCCGGCCTAGGCCCTGGTCAGAGCTTGTGCTGGAGGCAACTAATCTACATGTACATCGATGTTTCTGTCTTTCCCTCTCTCTTCCACTCTCCCTAAAAATCAATGGAAAAATATCCTCGGACGAGGATTAACAGCAACAAAGGAAGTACAAATTAACCGTTAAAAATCATCATGGGGTGGGGATGTAAAGAACAGCATAGGGACTATAGTCAATAATATTGTAATAACTATACATGGTGCCAGATAGGTACTGTATTTATCAGGGGGGTCATTTTGCAAGTTATATAAATGCCTAACCACTGTGCTGTACACCTGAAACAAATACTGAATGTCAACTGTAACTGAAAATTAAAAATAAAATTTAAAAAAGACAATTTGTGTCTAAATTGTCCCATCTGTATAATGGGAATAAGAATATTATTTCACATATTGTAAAAATTAAACAAATTACTCTATGTAGAGTACTTAGTGTTTGGCTCATTGATAAACATTATGTAAGTGGTTTATTATTTTTGGTTTACTGTTATTGTCACCTATTTTTCAATTTCCCTTTTAGTGAATGAGCACTTTCTGTCTTTCTATACACACCGTCCCTACTTCTGGGTCTATACCCAAAAGAATTGAAAGCAGGAACTCAAACAGATATGTGTACACGCACCTTCATGACAGTATGGAGTCACCATCACTAAAAAGTGGAAACAACCCAAAGGTCCATCAAAGGATGAATGACACACAAAAGTGGTCTCTCCACGCAATGCGATGGAATAGCACTGTCCTTACAGGAAGGAAATTCTGACGCGTGGGTGAACCTTGCAGATTTAAGCTACGTAGCAAAATAAACCAGACGCAAAGAACAACTATTAGGTGACTCCGCTCCTACAGGTACTCAAATTCATAGGGGCAGGAAGAATGCTGGTGGCCAGGCCTGGGGGACAGAGGGAGGAGGGAGTTGCAGTTTAATGGGGACAGGGTTTCAGTTTGGGAAGATGAAAAGCTTTGCAGATGGACAGCGGAGACGGTGGTACCGCAATGGGAATGCAAGCGAACTGTACTCTGAAAACAGTAAACTGGTAAGTTTTTGTTGTGCATATTTTATCACAATTTAAAAAAAAAAAAAACACCTCGGAGGAACACTTTGTAAAGTATACGATCGCCTAACCACTATGCTGTACACCCAACACTAATACAAAATAATATTGAAGGTAAACTGTAATTGAAAATAATTTTTAATTAACAAAAAACGAACCCTAAAATCTAAAAAAAAAAAAAAAAAAAAAAAAAAGAGCACGTGCGCTCCCTCCTTCCCCAGGAGCCAAGGACGCGCGGCTGGTCCAGAAGGGGGCGCATGGGTCCTCTCGGCTCAGCAGCAGCAGCAGCAGCAGCATGAAGTCCCCCAACCTGAACTCCCGTAACTGCAGGCCCCCGGGTGGCCCTTCTCTGGCCCCTTCCCGTGCTCAGGGTGGCTGACAGTGCCATCTCTGCATCCCACGCCACGGCCTGGAAAGCTGTCCTTCCAGAAGCTTCCTCTAACTCCCGGGGGCGGGGGGAGGGTCCCGGTGTTATTCTATTCAGCCTATTTCACTGCTGCACAGCGGGGCACAGGATGGCCCAGAAATAACGGGGAATAAACAGCCCAGGCGCAGTCACCGCCTACGCCTCAGGCTCCAGCCCCTTTCATGAAGCATCGCCTGGCAGGTGCTCCCAGAGGCGTCCAGGAAAATCCGCGCAGCCCCCCAGCGCCCCACATCCCCTGTTTGCAAGGAAAAGCTCACTAGTGGGCAGTTTTCCGGATCCTTCCTCCCTGCACAACAAGCCCCATAGGAGGCTGTGTGCCTCCTCCTCGGAGGAGGAGAGTAAGTCTTCTCAGGAGGCTGCAATTTTCTGTTAATTCCTACTCTGATATTCTGTTAATTTCTATATGTAACATTTTTCTTTCTTTATTTTTTTTTATTTATTTATTGAGTTTAGAGAGAAAAACACCGATTTGTTGGTCCACTTATGCATTCTTTGGTTGCTTCTTATATGTGTCAGGGGATGGAACCCTCAACCTGGGCGTATTGGGACAACGTTCTAACCCACTGGGCTACCCAGCCAGGGACAAAACTTTTCTTAAAATGCCGTATGAAACATATCTGTGGGGGTAAAACTAAAAGCATTTCCCACTTTGATTTTGTGGGCTGTTTATGTGGGGAAATTTTTAAAAGAACATTTTCTAGTTATAAGAGGAAAAGGGAGGAAGAAAGAGGGGAGGAGGGACAATATCAGGAGGGAGGGAGGGAAGGAGGGAGGGAGGGAGGGAAGGAAGGAAGGAAGGAAGGAAGGAAGGAAGGAAGGAAGGAAGGAAGGAAGGAAGGAAGGAAGGAAGAAGGGGAAGCCAGACACACTTCTTGGTGGAGCTATTAAACCATTTTTGTCTCAACTCAATTTCCTCCTTCGGCTTCTAAACTAGTTGCCTATCTCCACAGACAGACTGGGCCCCCTTGACCTGTTCTTCCCATTTGCCCCCAAGCCCCCTGTCCTGTGGCTGACAAATTCCTCCACACTCTCAGGCTTGCCCTCCAGGCCTCACAGCTGCCTGTCCTTGTCACCCTGTTCAGAGGGCTCCGTTCACCCACTTTCCTTGCCAGACCTCGAGGCAGGAATTACATCTCATTCATTGTTGTGTCATCACAGACCGGATTACATCTTAAATAGTGGGACTTGCTAAAATTTAGAAGGAAGAAGTCAGAGTCGTCAGACAGGTTTATTGAGGTTGAGCAGTTTGCCCCTAATCCAAATGGTTTGTGGTACAGGCTGCGTGACACCTCTCTGACCACAAGGCCCATCACCAAACAAGGGCAGATGAACACCTGTTCATTCTGGAATGTAGTCGGGCGTTAAGCTGCGGCCCCGCGTGGCTCGTGGCTCGTGGTTCGTGGCTCGGTTGCTGGACCCGATCAGGCTCTCTGGAACGTCTGCTTGCACACCTGGCCCTCGCAGAACATTTCCTGGGATCAGGAGGAGGAAGAGGAAGGAGGTGACTTGGCACGTGGCCTGTTATTACTCACAAGGATCTGACACAAACGTGTGCTGTCTTTGCCAACCCCCTCCTCCAACACTCACACCAACTCGGTTCTGACAACCACCAACCCAGAGTTAGTGCAGAGCCCACGGGTGCAGGGCTCACTGCCCCCACTTCCGGCATCCATCGAAGTCCCAGGCCACCTGTAATTCTGACCAACCAGTTATGCATTGGGGGTTCCCGTGACTCCCTCCTCAAGTGCAATAATTTGCTAGAATGGCCCGGCCGGCGTGGCTCAGTGGTTGAGCATCGACCTATGAACCAGGAGGTCACGGTCGATTCCTGGTCAGGGCACATGCCCAGGTTGTGGGCTCCATCCCCAGTGTGGGGCTGGGGGACTTCTAAATCTCAATCTCTTCATTTTTAAATTGGGAAAAAAACAGTAGATTGATAGAATTGCTGGTCATGGTCTCCCTGTTTAACATTTTCTTCAACGTTAGATCCTCTCACTAAAAAGAAGAGGGATACGGCAAGTACCAGGTGGAGCGTGTCGCCTTCGATCCAATGGGTCCAGCCTCTGTCCTTCTTTTCCCCCTTCTGGACACAGGTGAGTCTGTCATTGTCCCAGGTGACCAAGCTCTGCCCGGCGGAGGGAGAAAACATTGCTTTGTTGTGACAGGATCGCGACTATTACTAAGTTGACGGCCAATGAACCTGGCCAAGTTAAGGGCCTATGTTACTGCTGCGATGTTTACCTTGCATTTCCTGTTGTCCAGGCCTTTGTTATCTTCATCAAATTCTTCTCCAACTTTAAACTGAACAAGGTAGTTCCGTAGGCTGCTGTACGTGTGGATGGAGAAAGAATCCCCATTCTGCTCAATCACCTTCTGCGGCTTCAGCAGCTTGGCTATCTTCCGAGTGGCAAAGTCAATACCTTAAAAATAATTTTAAAAAGAAATCTCAGCTTTCACCAGAGAGGCAAACGCAATGAACTTGGCAACTGTCCTCATAAGCGTTGCATTCGATGGCGAGTGTTTCTCTGACAGTGTCAATGTCATCTGCTGCTGAGGCGGGATCTGGAGGGAAAGCTATCCTGGCAAACCTCCATCCAGAGGCTGGTTTAAAAACTTCAACAGCTTTGGGGGAAGACGCAGTGGGCTGGCGCGTGCCTCATGGGTGGATTGGAAGCCGGGCACAGCAGAAGCACGTCTGCTAGAAGGAGGGCACCTCTCAGCTGCGGGGGAGCGGGGGGGTGTTTTTTAAAATATATTTTTATTGATTTCAGAGAGGAAGGGAGAGGGAGAGATAAAAACATCAAGGATGAGAGAGAATTATGGATCAGCTGCCTCCTGCACGCCCCCTACTGGGGATCAAGCCCACAACCGGGGCATGTGCCCTTGACTGGAATCAAACCTGGGACCCCTCAGTCTGCAGTCCGATGCTCTATCCACTGAGCCAAACCGGCCAGGGCACCATCTGTGGGTTTTATCACCTGCGTTAGGGGGTGACAAAGGGACAAAGGAAGCCATCCAACCTCAATTACAGCAACTCTGCCTCTTTCTGCTTTATGTATTTACGCTTCAAATGAAGACAGAATTTGAACAGTTTCTGAACAACTATTTAAAAAAACAACACACACACACACAAAACCTCAAAACCACTGCAATCATGCACACGATTCTATTCACTTAGGAATCTTGAATAAGCTTTAAAAAGGGACACAGACGAAAACATGGAATACTGTGAAGGTCAGGGTTTTGATATAGAAAGTGGATTTGAACACCGTTTCTCATTTATTAGCTGTGAGCACGTTCTGTGGCTAGAGGTTGTGAATGCTTGCTCCCTATTCTTCAGGAATTTATAACCAAGAATGAAGGGGAAACAGAGTAATCGAAATCCCCCTTTAAGAGCAGCTGCTCCAGTGAAAGGAAAACTGAGAACAATCTTCTTGAACCTAAAAGCGCTGGGATTATTTGAGTTCTGTGCCGCCAATCCCTGTAAATGCCATGTGCTAATTTTACACAGATTCTGAATAAAGGACATGGGCTAATTCACCGAGCACTTTGTTAATTTAAATATTTAACTGGGACGAAGACCTCAAGCTCTGTTTTTGGCCAAAGGGGACAGATCACCTGGCTGTATTTTCTTCCATCCAATGAACGAGATAAGGACTTTCTGGTTTTTATTACAGGAGCCATCTTTATTCACTTGAAATATAAACCTCTGTGTTTAAAAAAACATGTTTTAGCTCACTGTGTAAAGTCATGAGACATGGCTCAGATAGGAGAGAATGCTAACTCCCAAAATGAACTTAATTCAAACAAATGAACGTAAAAGGAGCTTTCACGTGCTCTGGCTGGTGTGGCTTGGCTGGGTGGAGCGCCATCCCGTGCATCAAAAGGTGGCGTGTTCGATCCCTGGTCAGGGCACATTCCCAGGTTGTATTCGACCCCCGGTCGAGGCACATGCAGGAGGCAGCCAATTGATGTTTCTCTCTCTCCCCCTTCTTCTCTTTAGAATCAATCAATACTTTTTTTAAAAAGGAACTTTCATTTTTTAAAATGAAATATAGGATTTATTGTAGGTTTTCTACCCAAGTATCCTTGTAATTCTTTTTTTTCTATTTTTGGTAATTTTTTATTGTGGTCAAATACACACATTTTACCCATTTAAAGGCATACAAGTCAGTGGCATTGAATAATCATAATGTTATGCAACCAACAACATTATTTATTTCCAGAAATTTTTCATCACCCCAAACAGAAACGCTGTATCAGATGGGGTTCAGGACACTCTACCTCAAAACCTGGCACCTTGGCAGAGTGAATATTTCCAGCCGCAGGTCCCTGAGGAAGGCAGGTGCAGGGGGGACCCTTTGCCCCCTGACGCAGGTGATAAAACCCTCAGACGAGAGGTTCCCTCCTTACAACAGGGGAAGGAGCAGCCTCAGCTTCACCCACAAGGGACACAGAGAGGAATCTGAACACTTGCTAAGTTTCTAAGCTTGTTGGTTACTTTTTAGTTCTACAGTTTCTATTTGTTTCCTTTTCATCTCACCAGATGTTACTTTTTATAGAGTCTGATTTCTTGCCAAAATTAAGCTCAGCATAAGTGCTTTATAGTCTGTTTCTGATCACTCCAGTATCTGGAGACCCTGTTTGTACACGCAGACCCAGGGTAAGGTGCTGAGATTGAAAATCTACTTTTGCAAGTGGAGGGCAGGAGAGACCGAAAAAATAGGCTGGCCCCTCCGGGCTGGTAATTAACAGAGTTTCTTAGGGGAACATGCAAGACATGTCGTGGATGACTACAAGATGAAATGGACCCCCCCACTGCTTGGCAGGTGCCAAATAATTATATAGGGTACAGTGGGGGGCAGTCACAGGTAACGGCCCCTAAATGCTACCAGGTTCGGGGAATGACGTTACATGCCTGACTAGGGCAGGACAACAACCTGTTCCAGGGACCAGCGCTGGCAGGAGGCAAGGGAAGGGGGCGAGTTTATGTCCGAATGAACATCAGTTACAATCAGACAGTCTCTAAGGGGGTTTGCAGAAAGTCACCTCCTTTCTGGCCGGGTCCAGCTTGCAGGACGCTCGCTGGTCACTCATGGAGCCCTCTCTTCCACTCTCCCCCCCCCTCCCATCTGCACCAGGACGGACAGAAGTTAGGACACGACTCTAGACTCTTATCAGCCTGGCACCAGAAGAGCCTACATAATAAACGTTATTAAGTAGCCCTTATTTTCCCTTCGTTTTCCCATATATTTACTTTCCTGTTGTTTGCCACCCTGGGAACTCAGAGTCCTTTTGTCTTGTCACTTCTCTACGGAAGTATTACTCGTCGCTAAGAAGCTATATAAGCTCAGGCTCTAACCCAGCCGTGGGCAAACTACGGCCCGCTTGAAATAAATAAAACTAAAAAAAAAAAAAAAGACCGTACCCTTTTATGTAATGATGTTTACTTTGAATTTATATTAGTTCACACAAACACTCCATCCATGCTTTTGTTCCGGCCCTCCGGTCCAGTTTAAGAACCCATTGTGGCCCTGGAGTCAAAAAGTTTGCCCACCCCTGCTCTAACCACTCCTTTGAGATACCCATCGCCCCAGGCTGAGTGTGTCCACCTCTGTGTGTCTGTCCTTTGTTAGTCTAATTCACAGGGCCCCTGCCAATGAACCAGGTGGGTAGAGGAAACTACATCTTTTCCTTCTGTATGAGGTTTTGTGTCAATATAAGTCAGATTTCGCTTGAGAAGTTCCAAACTTCCCTACTTCGTGTGAGAAAGGACAGGGAGGAGAATCTGAAAAACACTGGGGCACAGAACTGGACATTTCAAAGTGGTCACAATGGCCAATTGTCTGTAGTAGGTATTTTACCACAATAAAAAAAAAAAAAAATTGGAGGCCTCGCCTGGCAACTGCTTGGCCGGAGCGGGCTGGTACCGCGTCCGGCCTCCAGGGGGCGCCGCCGGGGGCGGCCTCGCGGGGCGGCGGGTCAGTCTCCGCCTGAGATTTCCGCTCGGCTGCCCAGCCCGCGCTCCCCGAGGGCCCCGCGCTCTGCAGCAGGCCTGCCCGATGGCCGACGTGTTCGTGTACGGGACCCTGAAGCGAGGCCAGCCCAACCACCAGGTCCTGCTGGACGCCACCCACGGCTGCGCCACCTTCCGGGGCCGGGGCCGCACGGTGCAGCCGTGCCCCTTGGTGATCGCCGGGCAGCATAACATTCCGCGGCTGCTGAACCTGCCGGGGCGCGGCCACCGCGTGTCCGGGGAGATCTACACTGTGGACGAGCGGATGCTGCGCTTCCTCGACGAGTTCGAAGGCTGCCCCGACCTGTACCAGCGCGTGCGGGTGAGCGTCGGGGTGCTCGAGCGGGAGGGCGCCTCCGAGGAGCCCCCCGCCGCCGCCGAAAGGCGCCTGCAGTGCTTCGTGTACATCACGGCCACCTACCCGCCCGCGTGGGCCCAGCTCCCGCACCTCGACAATTACGACGCGCAGGGGGCGCACGGGCTCCCCTATCATCCACGGGAAAACAGATAAAAGCCCAAGGAAGGCTCCCTAGCCAGGGGACACACAGAGCCCCGAGGATAAGATCATCCCAGCGTGGTCTGCACGCACTGAATGCAGAAGCCCAATGATGTCCTTGGAAACAAATATTTGTAAAACTCCATCTGTGGGAAAAGAAAGACTTTCTTTTACTGTCATCCAATTTCCTAGATAATGTTGACATACCAATAACAAGATTGTGCCCTTAAACCTATCCATCCCATACTGCTTGATTGCTTGCTGCTTAAAGAGCATTCGGTTTTTTAATGTACTGGGTAAGACAAATTTAGGATTTTAATTCCCCTAGATGGCATTTCAGGAACTCATATGTTATCATACTTTTCTTGCTTCTCTGTCTGCTTTGCTTTAATCTGAAGATGACATTTAAAATGAAAGTGAAGACCTTGTGTTGCGGCTAGATTTTAGCAGCCCTCCTCTATTGATTCTGACCTGTATAGCACCAAGAAAAAAAAAATGCTAAGCTGATCTTGGGTGTCTCCGTGTAATAAATAATAAAAGAAACTCAAGAAAAGCATGCTGCATTTTAGAGTAGTTTTGGAGGACATACAACATTTTTCTTCACAATTTTCAGATCAAGCTTATTAAAGAGACTATTAAAGATGATCATTTAAAATTAAATGTTTTAGAAAATAAATAAATAAAAAATTGGACTCCCAGCTCCATTTACTGGTGGGGAAACGGAGGCCTAGTCTCAGATAAACGGAGGTGAGCCAGAGCAGCCCCCAGACCCCCGTATTCTCAGCAGCTTTGGTCCCTCTGTCAAAAGTGCCACTGATCGGTGGCATTTCGTCAAAAGCACTTGGCACACAGTAGGTGCTCAGATGCAGGAGTCTGAGGAAGGAGACTGATGGCTGGACAGACCGGGGATGGGTGAGGAAGGCAGGCCTCCGCCATCAGGGCGGGGAGCACCCTCCAGCCCCTCTGGGGAGCGAGGACATGGGTCAGACCCCGCGGGTCCGGCACACCCCTGCCGCGGTCCCTTCTCCACGCCTCGGAGACCAGGCTCCCTGAGCGCTCAGGCAGCACGACGGACCCTCCTCGGGCTGGAATTGCACCCCGGAGGCGGGGATCGAGGAGCGGGAAGCGCCCTCTACGGGGTCTGGGTTTCTTGACACCCTGCAGTCCTCCCGGGGAGAGCGGAGGCCAGAAACTAAGATTTCAAACGCGGTTCCGAATCTAGCGGCACCGGAATCTCCTGGGGCGGGGGCCGCCCAGGGCGCCCCTGGGTTCAAGGGATCCCGGGCCAGCTGCCCAGAGCCCCGCGTTAAAGGCGGCTGCGGGCGAGGGTCACCCGGGAGGGGCTTCCATCCGGGGCGCCCCTGACCTGCCCGCACCCCACCGTGTCCCTGAGTCTGCCCGCGAGTGGTCCCCCGCCCCCCCACTTCCGCCTTCGTTAACAATCGGCGCTGGGCAGGAGCC